CCCCCCCCCAATCACTCAAACCCAGAAAAACAGTAGAAATCAAGGGCTGGAAAAAGGAAGACACTTACAGGCAATGACTCTGAACCTGCAAATACTTGCATATGAGGTAATTTAAGTTTAAATGAGGTATGTCCATTAACTTCAGGCAAGTTTACTAGGTTTTATCTTGAATTTAAAAAAAAAACAAACCCAAACCAAAACATAAAGGAACTGCAGGAATGAAAAGGACATATTGTTTTAAACCAAAACTACCGTTCATTGAAATGTTCCAATGATCTTCCTAGTGAGATTAAAAAAAAAAAAGTCAGTCACCATGTTTACGATCTGAACACTTCAACACCACACTTCCAAGAACTGGCAAACAAAATGAGCTGTAAATCAGGTGCAAGAAAGAAGACAACTATTATTTTCACTGTATGAGCTGAAGAAATGTAGAAAAAGAGAAACACATCTTATCCAGGTCAGCAACTGAAAATAGCATAAATAATGTGGGAGACACTTAAAAATATTTAACTTCTAACATTATCTAAATTCGGTTTTTCGTGCCTGGGTGCTTTTACAAACTTGCCAACAGAACAGACACTAAGATCACCAGCAGGTAGCTCCTGCTCACGTTTAAATGGGCACAAGCTGCAACTTATTCACCTTCTAAGGTGGTCCCTTGAGGCCAGGATTGAGGCACATGTCAGGGCCACAGACAAAGGATTTAAATTCCCAGGATTATCAGTCAGGCATCTTCCAAGTGAACTACAGTGTTCACTTTATGAAGCGTCAGAGATGTTAGCCCCAATTCTGCAGCTGAAAAGCTATGTTATGATATAATCTTTCCCAAGTTACCCATATGGGAGGCAAGCCATTCTGAATCACACAAAAGTGGTTTGCCTGCAGGGCACCAATTATTTACTACATGTAGCTTCACATCCAGTAGAAGATATGCATAATTTACTCATCTCCTTGACGTCTTTTGGGTTGGACAGTGTCTAAGCACAGCGATAAGACAGTGTTCTTACGGGCATTTGCCAGGGGGTGACTGGAGGGGAAAACTCCTCAGTTGTGGAAGATGGGAACTTCAGCCAAAACAATAAAATACAGGAACTGGACTTTCTTACACAATCTATCGTGACAGCATTTGGAAAATCCAGTACCACTGCATGCACATTCTTAGAGTAGCAGTCTTGCCATTTTCTCTGCACACCTTGCACTGGCTGTTGTGCCTACCTTGCTGCCACCTCCAACTACCCCTTAGGCTTATACACTTTCAGCAGAGGCAGTCTTTGATGCCGGGTTGTTGGATGCAGCAGGCAATGTGGATGAACAACAGCGTGTAGCAAAAGTAGCTTTCTTAATATAAGACCAGGTTCTGCCTTCACAAGCTTACATTTTAAGAGAGGGGAAGTGATAAACTGAGAATACAGAAGACCAAAAAAAAAACCCGTTTATGACGATACCTAACCACAGTGCTACTTAGATGTCAAAAGAGAATAGAGAAGGGACTGAAATAAAAAGCACACGAGGAATCCTCAGCAGAGAGGGAAGAGTTCAGATGAAGAGTAGCTTGGACAAACATATATGCTAGGGAACAATCCTGCATTGGCATGCATCAGTGAAACAGCCCCCTGCCTTTTAATAGCAGTTTATATTCATTTTCATATTCAAGCAGCCCAGAACTGAAAATCAAAAATGGCAAACCAGTAACAACTATAGGGCTTTTTTCTGACAGAGTTCTTCAGACTTTGTCAGGAAACATGCTGCACACCTCCTTCATTTAAAAAATTCTGTTGTGAGGTAATGACAGAGGAGAGAAATTAACAAAAAAAATATCACATCAAAGCCTTAATGGTGACCATGACAGAGAATATCAATGTATTCCCTTCTATCAATGCATCACTGCTATAGTTAAGTGAAAAGACAAGTGTCAAGCTACATTTAAGTTACATAAACTGAGTATTTCCACTGAAGATTATATTTGAGCATATAAAACAACAATAAAATCCCAAAGAAATAAAATCATATATGAGCAGAATCTCACTCATCAGCTCCAATGATGAGAATAAATTTCAGAATAGTAAAGTATGCAAGCTGATGACTGCAGATGAACAAATGCTGATAGCTAGCAGGTCTTTCCGAGGTCTGATTTAGGGCATTTCACGAGCGCCAAAAAGTAATGTGAAGTTCTCCCAATGGACTGTGAGAAACATGCTACCACCCTCCCTGGTTCTGCTCCTGCGATGAGGAGCAGACTTCTCTTCTTGTGTTCCTAAAATACAGCTTTGCATAAAATACAGCACTTGCATAAAAGAATACCTCCTAAAAAAAGAAAAGTAATTTTCAAAGACTGACAGTTCTCAATCACGCAAAGTGCCACACAGAAAAAAAAGTACTCTCAAAAAAATTTTTTTGTGTATTAGCCTTGGGAATAATCCTGTTACCATCATCTTTATGTCTTTCAACACAAAAACACTGCTAAACCCCACAGCAAATGATGTTTTCCTATTATCATATCCATTCATGCTTACATAATATCTAAGACATCCCCATTATCTTATGAACTCTATCATCATTATGGCATTTATCATTATTGACTACTGTAGCTGAAGCTGCAAAACGGTTTCAATAACGTTTTCACTCATTCAAAAACTCTTTTCTGTATGTAGGTTTTCCATTGTAAATTCAGTCATGAATATGCATGATTTCCCTTGTTCGCATGCTGTGTGAGGCTAAGACCTTTGGATGGCTGTGTGCAGACCTAGACAGACTTAAGTGTCAGCAGAGATTAAAGCTAGTCCCCAGCTAATATTCACATTACCCTCTTGCTTCTTTCCAAAGATAGAGACACAGAGAGAAAATTAAACATATTCTAGAGTCTCTAATCCTACCAACACTTTAAGCACTTTATTGTATGCTCAGCTTTAGAAAGAGAGCTTCTAAAGTTTCCATAGTTACTACAAATAAGAGCATGAGCCTATTTGTTGTGAAACTGCATAAAAGAAAAGAAATGCAGCAAGCACAGTAGGTCTGATTGCATAGACTTGTCTAGGTTTTTCCAACAGGACATATTGCATTCTCAAATCAATTAATATTATAGACAAGTGAAGATTACAATATCTCTGTCACAGTGCAGAGGGCATACAAAAGTAAAAAAAAAAAAAATTCTGTTTTGCAGGAGCTTCGTTACTAGACTACCTGTGTTTAGGGAATAAAAGCAAATATTTGTACGCATTTATAGCAACTCCTTTTCAAAATCCTTCAGTACTGTATGCTATGGGATTCCTATGTTATTTTGACTTATGCAAACAATAACAAAACTGAATCAACTTGCCCTGTGTTCCATACTTGCGTAACATCTTCATACAGTAATTTAAAATTTATCATCTAAACTCCTCTGGGTTGTAACTTCAGTTGTCAGGGAGGGGGGAATACAGGGAGAAAGGAAGAGAGGTGGAGAAAATGTGCTAGCAATCTGCCCTAAAGGATGACAAATTTTACTATCTACATAAACCATGAAAATCTATGCCACTAAATCCTGTGGAAGTTTTGCCATTGGCTGCAAAGGGAACTTTTCACAATTCCCTTGTTTCTTTTCATATGGATTCTGCTACAAGAGGTTGCTATAGTCAATGCTAGCAATAGCACAGTGACTGTTTTGTAAGTTTAATGGTGTGTGAAAATACAACCTCATACTGTCAGGAGTCGCTAACCAATATCCTATTGCAATGCATTACTGAAGAGGAAGACTTACAAACCGTTTCCCAAAGAGAGTATTCCAGCTTTTCATTCACATATTAGGAGGTCCAATTTGGACTAAATGTTATTGGCAAGTCTATTACAGCCACCAGGACCTCTATGAATTGTTCTACACAACAATTTGGATTTTATGGATGAAAGATAGTAGACGTCATTATTAATGAGGTTTGAATCTGACGAGGTAGACATACAGCAATGCATAAAGTAAGGTTGAAAGTACGTTGCTTGAAAAAGGCAAGTAGTAAGTTTTAATAGTTAAATGTTATCATTAACTAATATAGGATACTGAAGAGTGGCAACAAGGAGAACGAAATACGTACATCTGTTTTCTTAAGTCCCCTTGATATTTATTGATACTGAGGAATTTCTAAATATAACATCCTTGGTGAAGAGTTTGATTTATTACATAGTGTAGATACTTTTTTTTTTTTTTTTTTTTTTTTTTTATGGAGAACATTTCCCTCCACAAACTTTATTTTTCAATATTG